AAGCGGGCGGGAGGTTCGGCGAAATGAGTACTGTAATTAGTAATTTTTTTCCATGAATGTTCCACTGATATATAAAGAACCACTAATTGGATTTTAATGAAACTTTTATAGAGTATTCATCATCACATTTCAATGAACCTAGGACTATGCAGAGACCCAATTAGTATTTATGCTTATTAATCACCTAATTCACATAATTAACACTGATTTCTCAATTAGTGATCATCACATTTGAATAAAATTTGGTACATAAATGCTCTAGGACAATAGACAGGCCTGATTAATATTAATCCTCTAATTAGCATAATAATTCATAATTTTTTTGTTTTGTTCTGTTCATATTAGTTACCTGATTTACATAATTAGTTTTCAGCTTTTCCGTCAATATCTCATGTACAAGTAATTATGAATTAATTTTTAATGTGTCTTTAATACTCTCTCAGCATACAGGAGTTCTTTCTAAGCTTTCTTTGATTTGTGTTAATTTCAGTCACATGATATTTTTAGCCCCCGCCGGATCTATGATCCGGGCGGGGGGTTATTAATTTGGGTCATGTCTGTGCATTCGTGTGTGCACATTTCCACGTTACCAGCTTTTTCTCACACGTGTGATCCAATTCAGTTCAGAGTTGGTACAGAGACAGGAATTGATGGTGCTATTATGCACATCAAGTTATTTTTTCGATTCTTCAAAGTTTCACTGTGTTTTTCTTTGATTTTTAACATTTTTCCTTCAAAACTGCTGGAAAATCCAACTTTTCCCGAAATTACCAGAGTTTAATCCGAGTTTTGATGACGCATGCGCAGTTCTCGTCTCTGTGGAAATCAGTCATTTTTGTGTGAGGATATTGTATCCCCAAATTGTTTCTTTATTTGCGCAACGCTTATATGGACAAAATTGTGTCTCGTCAATTTCAAATGTAAGAAACCTTCTTTTAGGTCAGTTTTTGACTCCCATGTGCGAAGCACAAAATGGGAGTCTTTGCAGTTAGTGTGTCTGTATGTGTGTATGTGTGTATGTGTGTATGTGTGTATGTGTGTATGTGTGTCCGACTGTTCCACTGCTATCTCAAGAACCATACATCGGTTTTTGATGAAACTTGGTGCATAGATGCTCTGGGCCAATGCGCAGATTTGATTAGGTTTTGGTAAAAATCCATGCTCGTTAATTACCTAATTTGCATGATAATTAGCTAATTTTT